TACAATAGTAGACAAGGGAAACCAATATTCATAAGACAGTCAGGCATCTTAGTATTATGTCCCCTCTTCAGACTATGCCTCGATCCCATTATCACAGAGCCCTGTTGTTCTAAGGTTGAGCATCCATCACTATTAACTCTGTCCCATTTAGCCCATGCAAACCTGTCTCAGTGTTCCCCTATCTACCTTGTTCTTCCACCCCCTCCCCATAACATGAAATTTTAAAATAGAAATGAAAACTATAAATCATTTAGTATTACTTATCAAACCAGTTTTTAAATGAGAACAAGCAATTAAAATGCTGTTTATAATACGCTCTATTATATGCACATGGAGTCCTTGTGTGGCGCTATAGAATAAGCACTAGACCACAAGGTTGTTTTGAACTAGAAGGTTGGCAGTTCAAACTCATCAGCCACTCCTTGTAAACCCTAGAAAAGGACGCTATGAATTGGAACTGACTCAATAACACTAAAAATAATTATTTGCACAAGAGGGAAACATACCACATGAGTACTCCAAAACTATACATTACCCTAAAATATTGTACACAATTACTTCAATAAATCCGTTTCACATAAAATCCAGGTTCTTCCTCTTGATTTAGGACATGTTTGAGCCAAAAAGTATATTTTGGAAAAGGGAAACTTTTGAAGGCCTATTTGTATGTTTGTTGTTAGAGATCAGATGACAATTGATAGCCTTAGATCAGATGACAACTGTGGCTGTCAATTACCAACAATTTTTTATTTTTTAGATTAAGTTGCAGATTGCTGAAAGCCAATTAAATGTTTATCTTTCTAAAAATAAAGTTAAGTTTAGACTTTATGGGGTGGTTATGAACAATGAATGAATAATGCATGTAAAGTATATAACATAGTACTTTGTTGTTGTTGTTGTTGTTGTTAAATGCTGTTAAGTCAGTTCTGAACCATAGTGACCCTGTATAGGAGCGGCTGGTGAGCTTGAACCACTGACCTTGCAGTTCAGCACATTAACTCAGCGTCACACCAGGAGTCCAACCCAGTACCTAGCTTCAAGAAATGTCAGTTGCTGTTAATTATTAATAATCATTGGAAGATTGTAAAATCTACTTAAGATGTTATTTATTCTCACATTTGCAGTGTAAATATTATTATACTTGCTAGCAATTTAATTTCCTGAAGTAGAAAAAACACCAACTCTTACCTTTAGTTGTATAGAAGCAGTAGCTAATTTTTCTGCTTCAGTTAGTGCATGTAATTGTTGATAGTCCACTGGTTTATATTTGGTTCTTCTTAGTCCATTTTTCATGCAGAATACCAGATGATCTATTTTTCAGAGGAAATAGAAAATTGACAAAGAATTAACATCAAGTCATTGTCAAATATACTTATGGTAACATGTGGACCTCTGATAATAGTCTTCAATATTTTAAAAGAAATATAAGAAATAAAATATGTTGCAACATTTAGAACATGTTAACATCTATCTCTGAAAACTCTTGAAATAAGAATTAACCACTACAATCTCTGCACTAAATTATTTCTAAAAGTGCATAGATTTTTATTAAAATCAGTTTTAGAAAATTATAATGCCAAGCTTCAAAGTTTGTCCACTGTTAAGCTATTCTTTTTACATAAAATGTATTAAATATCAACTGTAAATATTTAAGTATCATATTGTTGTTGTTGTTGTTGTTGTTAAGTGCTGGCTGTCAAGTTAAGTTCTAACTCATAGTGACCCTGTCTGTATAGGGTTTCTGAGGAATGGCTGGTGGGTTTGAACCACTGACCTTGTGATTCAAACCAACTTTGTGGTCAGTGGTTATCCTATAGTACCACATCAGGACTCCATGTATCATATTATTGTACATCAAATTAAGTAAACAATTCTTTTTTTAGTAAACAGATTTTTTTATTGTGCTGAATGTATAATGTTGTTAGCAATGTTGATAGATGCTAAAAAGTCTATTTTGACTCATAGCAACCGTATGCGTGCATAAGAGAATGTGGTGGTAAGATCAGCACTGAACTGTGTACCACAAAGTTAGAGCCCACCAGCTCTTCCACGGAAGAAAGATTATACTTTCTACGACTGCAAAGATTTGCAGCCTCAGAAACCCTATACAGGATCATTATGAGTCAGGACTGACTCAACAGCACTTAACAACAACATGAATGCATAGCAACAGAACAAAACGTTATCCCGTTCTGCACCGTTCTCACAAGGCTTGATATGCTTGAGTCCATTGTTACAGCCACTGTGTCAGTCTTCCTCATTGAGGCTCTTTCTCTTTGTTGCTGATGCTCTACTTTACCAAGCATGATTCCCTTCTCCAGTGACTGGGTCTTCCTGATAACATGTTCACTATGCATAGGATGAAAACTCCCCATTCTCCCTTCTAAGGATCATTCTGGCTATACTTCTTCCAAGACAGATTTGTTTGTTTCTGGCAGTTCATAGTATGTCCAATATTCTTCACTAACAGTATAATTCAAATACATCAAATGTTCTTTGGTCTTTTTTATTTGTTGTCCAGCTTTCACATCCAGATGAGGTAACTGAAAATACCAAGGATTGGCTCAGGCTCACCTTAGTCCTGAAAGTGAAGTCTTTGCTTTTTAACTTTATAAAAAGGTATTTTTCAGCAGATTTGTCTAGTGCAATACATCATTTGTTGATTGTGGATCCAAGCAAAATGAAGTTTTTGACAACTTCCATCTTTTCTCTGTTATTCATGATGCTGTTTATTGGTACAGTTGTGAGGTTTTCTTTATGTTGAGATGTAATCTATGCCAAAGGCTGTAGTATTTGATCTTTCTTAGTAAGTGCTCCAAGTCCTTTTTGCTTTCAGCAAGCAAGGTTGGGTTATCTGCATATTACAGGTTGTTAATGAGTCTTCCTCTAATCCTAATAACATGTTTTCTTCATATAGTTCATAAATATAAAAAAAAAAATTCGGATTCAACACTTCTTACATGCATAATTCATTAACAATAATTACATTAATCATGTTGTGACTCCATTATCACTATTCTTTTTTAAATGATTCCACCACCATTAACTGAAATTCAGTTCCTTTTAAGCAATGATTCGTCTTTCCCCGTCCCTCCACACCCTGACAAATACTAATAAGCATTAGTCTCTATACATTAAGGAGACCTGGAGCATTGTGATTAAGCACTAGACTGTTAACAGAGTGGTTGGCAGTGTGAATCCATCGGCAGTGCCTTGGGAGAAAGATGTGTTGGCAGTGTCTGTAAATATTACAGCTTTGGAAACCCTACAGGGAAGTCCTACTCTATGCTGTAGGGATGCTGTGAGTTAGAATTGACTTGAAGAGCACAAGTTCTACACAGTTGCATATTTCACACAATGTTTGTCCTTTTATAACTGACTTATTTCACTCAGCATGTTTTCAAGTTTCATCCATATTGTAGTATGTATCAGGAATTGGTAAATCTTTCTATATAAACAGAAAATGAACTGTTATTAAAAATGGGAAAATCAGCATTCCAATTTAATATCATATCAAAAGAACATAATCAACTATAAATCATAAAATTGAGTTGAAAGTAGAGATAATACCTGAGCTATCATTTCTCTGAATTGTCATGAATGGTTGGTCTCTTTTATTCATGTTTTCTACATCTGTCAAGAAAAGAAAAAAAGACAGCAAAAGTGTCACAATGTTATTTTCAAAGCATTTTAAAACATGTGTTAATTGGAGTATTTTTAAGGCTTAGGACTGAGTGTGGTAAATTATTATATATTTTTTCATTTTTCTGTTCTTTGCTCCTCCTCTGTTATTTTTTTTCTTCTGTGCTTTATCCCGTTCTTGGTCTCTCTTTTCAATTGTTTCCTTCTTAATTCCCTTCTATTGCATTGTTCCAGTGACTGATAAATATTTTGTGATTAGAAAGTTGTGTTTGTTTTACCTTGAGTCCTGGGAAGAAAGAAACTACATAAGTTAAAGACTAATGCAAGTGATCAAATTACTTACTACCTTCCATTAAACAATATAGCACTTACGATACACATGGAGACTTAGTCTAGGTTCTCCTTGTAGGAAGAACTTGCGTTTGACTACAAGGACTGAGATCTGAATACAGACTCCAGGTGCCAACTCCTTCAAGATTAGCTTCAACTGCAAAGACCAACCTAATCAAAGAATACCCAGTGACTGAGCAAGAGAAGAGTTCAAAGGCCCAAATCTTTGGGCCCAATGTAGTATACATTAATAAGCGATATGAAGAGAAGTCAAAATTCTTTACCATAAAATCCCAGAAACAAAAATAAGAAAATGTGAAGCTAATGTTTCTCAACATATCCTTTATCTAGGTATATTTTCTTCTGAAGGGAATCCTTTCACCTTGCTAATCTTCCCTGAAGAATTCTGCACTCTTTGATTTACACAACATCAAAATGGCAAATTGGACATCCTCAGGGACTCAAATTGTGTTCCTTTTCAATGTTGTTTGAGTTAAGAGAGCAAAAAGAAGTCAGAAGGGGTAAGACCAGGCTATAGGGTGGATGGGGTAGTTTCCTAACAAAATTCTCATAAGACAGCTCTTGATACTCTCAAAATGAGACACTACATTGTCATGGGAGTGGGGGTGGGAGGGGAAGGTGCCAGTGTAACATCTCTAGCCCTTTTTTCACCATTGTGCTTTTCAGTGTTCTTAAAACTACTCCCTCTGATTGACTTTGCAGCCCAGGAGTGGAGGTCCCTGGGACCTTCAAGTGAGAATTGCTGAGAGTGGGAGAGGGGCTGTGTGCTGAAAGCCTGGAGGCGGGCCTGTGGGGTCTACCCTTTTGTTATTTGATGATGCTTGGAGGGGATTGTATTCATTGCAATGAAACGAAATACAGTAGGATGAATGTAAAACCCGTGTTCTCCCATGTAAACCTCACAACAAAAACTTAAAAAAAAACTACTCCCTCATAAGCCCCCATGATCATCCTGTACCCTTTGAGAAAATCTATCAAGATTACCCCTTTGGGATCCCAAAAAGAAGTTGCCATAACCTTCTGAGATAATTTGTCTTGAATTTAACAGGTCCAGAGGATCCCTTTGGAAGCCACTTAGACCTCTTTTTTGTGCTTAGACCTCATTTTTGAAGGCACTCTAATAGGACTAAGGTAACTATATAACTGTGAGAACTTGTCTTCTCACAGTTATGACAAGCAAAACTTGTTTAAGCATGATCTCCAAAACATGTTTAAACAAGTTTTGCTTGTCATAAACTTATGTATATTTTAACTGGAACCCTAAAAATGTAATTGTCGTTGTTGTTAGGTGCCATCAAGTCGGTACCGACTCACAGTGACCTTATGCACAGCAGAACGAAACACTGCCCAATCCTGGGCTAATCTCACTATTGTTGCCACACTTTAGTCCATCGATGCTGCCACTTGGCCATTTCATCTCATTGGGGGTCTTCCTCTTTTTCTCTGACCCTCCACTTTTCCAAACATGATATCCTTCTTCAGCGACTGGTCCCTCCTGACAATATGCCCAAAGTATAAGAGATGAAGTTTGGCCATCTTGGCCTCTAAGAAGCACTCTGGCTGCATTTCTTCCAAAACGGATCTATTGGTTCTTTTGGCAGCCCATGGCACTTTCAATATTCATCTCTAACACCATAACTTAAAAGCATCAATTCTTCTACAGTCTTCCTTATTTACTGTCCAGCTTTCACATGCATATGAGGTTATTGAAAATACCATGGTTTGGGTCAGGCGCACCTTAGTTCTCAAGCTGACATCTTTGCTCTTCAACACTTTAAAAAAGTCTTGTGCAGCAGATTTGCCTAATGCAATATGTCATTTGATTTCTTGGCTGCTGCTTCTGTGAATATTGATAATGAAGTCCTTGACAACTTCAATCTCTTCTCCATAGATAAGAATGTTGTTTATTGGTCCAGTGGTGAGAATTTTTGTTTTCTTTACATTGAGATGTAATCCATACTGAAGGCTGTGCTCTTTGATCTTCATCAGTAAATGTTTTAAGTCCTCTTCATTTTTAGCAAGAAAGGTTATATCATCTGCATATCGCAGGTTGTTAATGGGTCTTCCTCCAATCCTGATGCCACGTTTTTCTTCATATAACCCAGCTGCTTGGATTATTTGCTCAGCATACAGCTTGAATAAGTATGGTGAAAGACTATGTAGCAAAACTTTTTTACTTATCCTCATATTTGTACCGGAGCTCTCTGTTATGTTCGCCAAGACTTCATTGGATCCAAATTAAAATTGACTACTTCATCTGCCCAATTGTGCTTCATGTCCCTCTCTTTCACAGGGTAAGTCATTGCTAAACATCCTACACTCTACTTAGAGTCTCTCCTAAAAATCCAACCTATGATAGCACTAAACTGAGCTGAAAATTTTTTTTAGAAACATATCATTCCCAAGGCAAACAGACTAGAACAGTAGTTCTTTAAACAAAAGTACCCATTTATTAATAGTTTTTTGTTTCATACCTAGAAAGTTGAATATCCAGTGAACATGCTTAGTAGTCTTTGTAATAATAAGTGGAAGAGAAAGTAGCAAAGATCTGTGACTTTTGGAAACTTTGTCAAGAATCTACAGATAAACTCCAGTGTGTGATTTCTAAAGTCTGGTCAGGGAGGTCCTGTATCAAACTTTTAATAACATTGGCACTGCCTTCTATAGACTGGATTCCACTGATACCCATATACCATCCATTACCTGGACCTACTGATTCTTCTTTCAAAGCTGTATCTAAGGTGTGTGCTTCTACTGCCACTACACTAAATAAACCATCATTAACTCCTCCTTGCTCGGAAAGCCTCCAATATCTCCAAATGATGTTTTCACTCTATACCTTTATAGTCCATTCTCCACACAGCATCCAAAAAACCTTTAATAAACTCTAATCTGACATTGCTTGAAATTCTTCAGTAGTCTTCCATTACAATTTAAAGTAGTTTCCAAATGCCTTTAAAGTTCTCAATGACCTGCAGGACCACCTGGGTTCATCCTTCCACCCTCATCTCATTCACATATTCCAACAATGTTGGTCTTAATGATGCCTTCCCTTCCTCTTTCTACCTGATTAGTTCCTACTCAGCCTTCAGCTCAGCCTTCATGTCACCTTGATGTTAATGTTAAGTGCCTTTGAGTCAGTTCTGGCTCTTAACGACCCCGTATGGGGTTTCAGAGGACCAGCTGATGGATTTGAACTGCCAACCATGCAGTCCAAATTGACCTTGTGGTCTAGTGCATTATCTTGCAGCACCATACCTGGACTCATTACATGTCACCTACAAGAGAGATATAACTTCCAAAACTGCTACCTAACAAGAGGACCCCTTACTATTCATTCTCATTCTGGTCTTTTCCTTTCTATGATAATTTGCAATCTTTTCAGTGATTTGATGTCTGTCTCCTACATTAAGCACGCAGGCCATGTCTGTCTTGTATCAAGTTGTATCTCCAATACCCAGATCAGCATGTTGTTGTTTTTGTTAAGTGCTGTCAGTCTGACTCATAGTGACCCTGTACAGGATTGCCAAGGAACCACCAGTTTGGTAGTTGAAAGGACTTTGAACCAGCGACTTTTTGGTTTGTAGTCCAGTGCTTATCCTACAGAGCCACAGCAGGTGTTTATTGTTTCTGTTGTTATGTACTGTCAGTTGTTCTGACTCATAGCAACACTGTATGGGGTTTCTGAGGAGTGGCTGGTGAGGTTTGAATTGCAGACTTTGCAGGTTCAGGCTGACCTTGGGGTTCAGTGCATTTCCTGTACTGCCACACCAGGACTCCATTGTTGTTGTTAAGTGCCTACATGTTGGTTCCAAACCATAGCGCCCCTGTATAAGTTTTCCTAGGAGTGGCTGGTGAGCTTGAGCCTTGAGAGTCAAACCCACTTTGCAGTCCAGCACATTAACCCACAGTGTCACACCAGGACTCCATTTATTATTGCTGTTATGTGCCATCAAATCAGTTCCCACTCATAGTGACCCTGTATAGAGTTTTCAAGGAGCCACTGGTGAGCCTGAACCGCCGCCCCTGTGGTTCAAATGACTTTGCAGTCCAGTGCATTAGCCCACAGCACCATACCAGGATTCCATAGTAGGTGCTTAATAAATATTTATTGAATAAATAAATAAATAGGTAGTTGGCAATAGCTAGATGTCTTCTAGCCCCTCAGAAGATTAGCTATAAAACACAGTAAGTCCATACTATAGGCTCCCTCTTCTTATCCTAAATTTCATTTTTTGGTTTTTTGTTTTGTTTTATTTTTAATCTTCTTTAACAGTATGATCTACAAACAGATTTTAAATGAAAATAACCTCAGAGGTCATCAGGTAAGTTAGCTGTGAGAAGTGATAAGGTCAAAACCATAAGCTGGGGTTAGAAAATATGAAAAGTTGAAGAGCATTCCATACCCAAGGATAATCAAATACAGAGCAATAAAACAAGATTCCACAACAACTCTATGTTGCATTCAGCAGCCAGTATGGGACCTCTGGTCTATAGCACTTCATCCCTGGTTACATTTTATTCTACCACTCATTGCTTAACTGCCCGAATTTGCCACATTCTTGAGTAGGAGTCCTTGCCAGACCTCCTACTGATTGATTTCAACCCATCCTCAGCAGAGAACCAGACCTTTCAGATTT